TTATTAGGTATCTATTTTTGTCAACCACTCTGCTAGCTTCTGAACAATCAGAAATGAAAGTTAATCCCTGCCTCAGAAATCTCACTGTCAGGAAATCGACCTCACAGGGGTCTGTGGTAGGATGGGAAGAGTGCACAAAGGGCTGCAGGAATACAAAAGAGGAGCTCTTAGTCGCACCCAGCTAGGAAAGCTTCCTGGAAAAAGGGGACTCTTGGCTAAGTTTGGTATTTGGAAGCTTATTAAATGAAATTAGGGCAAGAGGCATGAACATTCTAAGCATGAGGGCAAGTGTATGCAAAGACCTGAAGGAGTGAGATGTCATGGCTTCTTCTAGTGCGTGTTTTGAGATGGATAGCTTAGGAAGTGGCAGATGGAGTTGATGGTCTTGGTATGCCATGCTAATAATTAGAAATTTTACTGAAGGTGATAGGAAGACATTGAAGAATTTTAAGAGGGTAACAAGAGTTCATAGCAAGGAGAGAGGAAGGTCATAGGCATTAAAAAACAGATCTGAGGAAAAACACTTCAGACTAGTCATTCATTTAACAATAAGTTAAGGAAAGAACTTAAAAGCCAGCTAATAGTATAGAAACTAGATAAGAAATATTTGTTTAAGTTTGCCAGCTTTAGTGTGTATTTAATTTAGTGTCTTTGAAGACATTACTTGGATGACAAGTAATTCATTATTGAATTTATTTGTCAAGGTTTCTAATAAAGCACTTGTGACATTTCACTGTTAGAGATCAATAGTCAGGTTAAAGAATAACTGCTGGTAGAAATAATTCTGTAGAAACCCAAGTGACAGAGTGAAAACCTAAATTTGTTAAGAGAAAATAACCTTAATATAAACCACAAGGGGAAGCTTAGCAACAATTTTATTCATGAGTACACTTTTGTGAAATAAATAATTTTAAAATATTTTTTAAATATAACAAAAACAGGGATTTGGCATTTTGTTAATCATATCATCATCCTATCACTGAAGTCAATAATGTGGAGTGGATTGATCAGAATCTGAAAAAGAAGTGCAATTTAGATGACTTGAACAAATAACATTGTTACGTTAGCATAAGTACATATATTGAATTAGTCTATCTATAAAGCATAATCATGCTAAATGTGATATAATTATACTGCAAGTTGATTCGAAGCAAAGTTTAATTATTTCAAGAAAAGAAGTTATTGAAATTGAGAACTAATGTAAACTTGTTTGTTTTTACTGAATATTAGACTGAATAACCAGGGATAATATATGGTAACTATCAAAGGTTCTTTTTAATACTGCTCTACCTCCCAAGAAGGATAAAATCTAATAAATCTTTCAAAACAAAAAATGAGAGGAGAGGAGGGGAGAAATCACTCTAAAACGTAAATAAAGTGCTTAAAATTGCACACAGTCAAGTTAACACCATTTCCAAGTGTAAGCAGATACTGCTTGCCCCAATGAAGAGTTTACCATTAGGGATATTTTCAAAAGCAAGACACTTGGAGTAAACAGAGAAACAAAGGAGAGCTATTTTATTCAAAGGCCTGTGCACATATGGAACCTGTTAAGGAGATGATGGCTGCAGAAAGAACTACAAACAAGTGAAAGAGACACCTAGGCTGTCTCCGAAAGGAAGGGATGGAGGCAAGGGTGGTTACAAAAGCAGAAAGTGGGCCAGAGATCAGTCAGATGGGAGGGAGACAGGCTGTTGGGCAGATGGTCTTTTCTGTTCCAAAATGTTCAAAGTGAAGGGACACTCCTTACCACACTTTTATTTTACACAAAGAGTGAATTAAGAAGAAACCAAGGGCCTGTCAGTTTTTTCTGGAGTTAACTTGTGTCATTTCCTTGATAAACTTTGCTTGTTTATGTTATCTATTTGCTGCCTTCTTCAAACTGAGGCCCTCACTTGGTGCTCTTTCCATAACTCTTAGGTTTCAATGAAAAATGTGAACTGAGAGTAAGGTTCCTGTTTACATTGTACAGTTATCTATGTAAGGTTGAGTTATCTTCCTCTGAAAATTTCTGGGGAAGATTAATATTTCTCTTTCGACAAAGTGCAATGCTCACTGATTTACCAAGTTTAGGACCAAACTAGACTATGGAAATGGTAATTTCACAGTCCATTAAAAATTAATGGACACAGGTGGAAAAAAAATAGTTGAGTTGGCTTGCTCCAGTGTAGCGGAATAATGACAGCTGATGAGCCAAGCTCACCTGAATGGCACCTGACAGGGAAAATATTTTACGAATCTTACAGATATAAGCAGATATTCAATCTCATTAACCAAGCTCACAGGGAGTATAGGGCCTTATCCTAGATACCAGGAGACATAAAAAGCAAGCAGGACAATCACTTCTTTGAAGAGCTGAATTGTTAATGGAGAGACCAAAATAAACATCTAGTAACACCTAAAAATGCTAAGAATGAAAACATGCAAATCAATTCTATATAACCACTGACAGACAAAGTAGTCAGGCTTGGCCCAATCAGGTGGGCATATAGCAAATGACAGGTTTTCATTCTTAACATTTTTAGGTGTTACTAGATGTTTATTCTAGGCTCAGAGCTGGCCCATGGAGTAGACTTTGAGATATGTATAGTCTGGGTCTGCTGAGCATAGGTAAGTACCAGTTGAAATTGGCCACCTGAGTCCTTGGCATTCTAGCTTCTGTAATACAGTTGAGAGTTCACAAGGACCTGCATTTTTCACTGGGCTATTTATAAGGGAAAGTTTGTGGGAGGAAGGCTTACTGGTGGGTATCCTAGAAACCCAATTTATCCTCCAAAAGAAGTATCCCTTCAACAAGAGGAAACTCATTAAATGCCTATACTATACAACATATATTAACAAAATTATAAAAATATTTTTAACTATCAGTAATACACGGAAAGAAATCCTTTTAATTTTTATATTCACTTATAAATTAACGAAAATAAAATCATCTATCTTCAATTAAAATTATACCTAAGGACTTATGCCATAACAACCACTATTAATCTAATTGACCAAATTCATCCCCCTTGGGTACAGCAAA